AATCTTTCTCTCTCACAAATTTGCAGTCTTTCCAACTCTTAATGTTCAGCATCTAAGAATAGCACTCATTTTGGAAATAGATGAATGAAAGAAAGAAAAAATTTAAAGACTTTTTACAGAATGAAGAATTTGTCATTGATATGAGCCTCTGCCTGTATTTATGGCAGCTGAAATTCTCTGTTGTTCCATCTGCAACAAATTTGAAATGTAGGCCTTCAGATAATTTAAGACATTTATCACTTAGCATATTGATATAAAGATTAACATTTTAATTAATTTTTTATTTAATATTATTATTATTATTATTATTGCTGTTGTATTCTTTTCCTATTTTTTATTATTATTAATATAATTTCTTTTTATTTTAATTAAATTTTCATTTTAATCTTTTTTTTAAAAAATGATTAATTTTATTATTATCTCTAAAACTTTTAATTGGTTTTAACATTTTTTCTTATTTTATCCTTTTTGTTCTGATTTTTATTTTAACTAAGAATTTTTAATATTCTATTTTTATTTTATTTATTTTCCTTCCTTGTTTTTATTTACTTTTTACTTCTTTCTGTTATTGTTCTTTTTAATGCTTTCACTTTTTATCTTTGTTTTTTCAATTTTTTTCAAATTTGTACCTTATTTTAAAATTATTTTTTTTTTCATTTTGTTCATTTCTTTCATTCCTTTCTTAATTTTTTTCCTGTCCTTCCCCAGAATTGTTAATGAGTATTTCTTATTGATTGCTGACGAGAGAATATAGCATCAAATTCTCTCTTATCTCTAGCAAAAGTGTGTCAGTGTTAGTACTTTAGAGAAGTATCTCCTTTAGGGAGATGTGCAAAGGGAAATATTGGGTTTCAGTAACAGTTCTAATGACATGATTTCTTCCACCATTTTTTTTTCCTGCTCTGTATGAAAACAAGTGGTGAAAAAAAATAAGAACATAAAAGCAAGAAAAAAAATCCATTCTGGTGCCATGGGACATCTTGAAATGTAAACAAAAAAAGTACTACTAATATTCTTAATCTTGGAACCTGTTTTTTTTATACATTGATAATTTTTTTTCACTTTAGAGTCAAAAATAGGAGAGAAGTAAAAGATAAAATTAGTCATAGACCATCATATTTGTTATGCTGTACTTAATAGAAGACAACGATGTTGCTTTCTCTCCCAAGGACAATGTACTAATGATTTGTGGGGGGGGGACTATGCTGATGACATAGGTATTCATATTTGGGATAAGAATGATGTTGAACAGAAAATCAAAATCCTCTGTCAAGTGTTCCAAGAAATAGGACTCAAGATCAATCTTTCCAAAACAGAAACTATGATCTTGAATTGGAATGAAAACAGTGATGGCACATACTCTGAATCCATCATAAAAATTCAGGATATGGAATTAGTAAATGTTAAAAAATTAATATGCCACAGTGTATGGATTAGTTATAACAAATTTAGTATAGGAGAAAACCAAATTGAACATATAATAGCCTGCACTAGGGATAGTTCCACCCAACACCACAAACTACTACAAAACCAAAACATTAACCTGAAAATATGGGTTATATTCTTAAATAGTCTTTTCACATCGAGATATTCATATGGATATCATACATGGCACCAAACCCATTCGGAAATATCTAAACTGTCAGATATATTCAACCATTTTCTAAAATCTATGGTTAAAAATTGCTTTGAGTGAGTAAAACCTGTGGGACATGGTGAAAACCATCCTTCTTTGAACCTTATGAACTGGTGCTACACAATCATAAACAAAGAAATGCACCAGATATTAGAAACAACATCACTAGGGGATTTTCAACAGCATCAACAACTAGAATGTATATCACATGTCACTCAAAGAGAAAATAATGACATAATCAAGATGTTGACATTTCAAACTACTTCAAATAATTTTTCCTCTTCCACAATTAGTTTTGAATTAAAAGCCTAAAGATATGCTTTTAATTTTGCCTTCCTCAGGTATGTATTGCATTTAGTGTGCCTTTGAAATATGTTCAAAACAAAGACACAAGTCTCCAAAATCTGTAGGATAATGAAAATACTTCTTCTTAGAACTTTTGTTCGGTCAATGATTTGAAACCAAAATAAAGAATCTTTCTCTATTGGTATTATCTCTTTATTTTCTTTGGGGTGCCTGTTAAAGTCATTTCTGGATTAAAATAAACTAAATAACCTGTTATCTGTGTAGTCAAATTTTAGTGTAGTAAGGTAGAAATTAGACTATATTTTCTAGGTGGTAAAAAGAGATATTTGTTTTTAAACTTTTAGGGCTTAATACTATTAATTTTATTTTTTAAAAAAATTCTATGCTCTTAAAGCCTTTTGCTTCTTTGTTTGAAAAACTCTCATAAATATTGGTTTTATTTGATATCATGAAATAACAAAAGAAGTCAGAAGAATCACTGGATCTTTTGAGATCAACACCAAAATAACACATAATTCCAATAGCAAAACGTCACAAAATTATTGAAGCCTATCTACATCAGATAAAAACAACTATGCAGCAATAAAAATAATTATAGTCTCCAATCCAACATTTTCCAATGCATATAAAAAAACAAATATCATACATGACTGATGCACATTATTATAACATACAGTGGGTAAGATTTCCTGCATTTTGGATTTATTTCATCCAATTTAAAATATAATGACACATTATATGTATTACTTATGATTATTTTCTTCACCTCATTTTACTTAAATACTTATAATGGTCATAAAATCCACTAGCTTCACACCCCTAATGATGACTCATATGAGTTGAAAGCCTGAATACGGCAATTATATTGATTTTGGAAATTTTGTATATCTGCAGCAGCCAGTTTTGCAAATGATCATTTGCAATTTAGAAAAAAAAAAGATGGTTGAACTTAATAGACATAAAATGTCTATACTTTTCAATAAAACATGTCTAAAAGAATAATTGCTGCCCAATTACATAATATGTGCATGTTTGAGTGAATGTAAAAGTTACAGATCTGAACAGATATTGCTACTCTGTAAATAACCAGCATTAGTTAGAAACTGTGGTCGTTACTTAACATAAATTGCTGGTGTCAGGTAACTTAGTAAAAAATAGATTATTATCATCTGTGATACATCCAAGATACTAAAGCCCAATACAGTTAGACTTTATAATAATTTAAATAATTTAATTATACTTAAGTACTGATTCTTTACTGCAGTTCCAGTAGCAATAATGATATAAATTTAATTCTGAAGGATTCTGAAACACAATATTTATTTCTGGAAGTAATTTTCATATTTTCTCTCTCTCTCTCTCTCTATATATATATATATATATATATATATATATATATATGAATGATACAAATGGGCTCAGAATTAAAAATTCATTTGGGCAATTTTTCTCAAAACTCTGTCCAAAAAAAGAAATCTCTTGTTTACACACAAGAAAAATGTGGTAAAATATTGACCAGAAGCATCTTGTTGGTTATTTTCAATTTATATATAAATTTCCATCATTACACTTTATATATATATATATATATATATATATATATATATATATATATATATTCACAGAATTACCGAACTTAAAAAAATGAATATATATATATATATATATGAATAAAGGCAAAAATATAAAATATATATAATACATAAATTTATACCATACTAAAATAATTTAAATATGAATTGCATAAAAAAAATTCAACAACATTGTTTACTCACTTTCATTTATTATACATTAAATTACATCACTTAGCATCTTCCATAATTTACCTAGACATTTCAGTTAATCTGATGAATATTTATCAGCAACTCTTAAATATAAAAATTTTGAAAAAAACTAACATTTTTACTTTTGTTTATAAATACTTGTTGCAAAATAAGATCCTTACATTTTCCTTGATAAAGTCCATCAGAGAATGAAACCTGACTGCTAAGAAAAGTTTTCCTTTTGTCTTTATTTATATTGTCCTTTTACAAATGTATTTTAGTTATATCTGAAATTTTACATATACATACATACATATATATATATATATATATAGAGAGAGAGAGAGATAGATAGATAGATAGATAGATAGATAGATAGATAGATAAATTCAAAGATTTTTTGTAATGGAAATTTTTCAGTCTTTTCTATAACAGTCTGTTATTGTTTTTTAAATTTCAATAACCACTAAGCAATCAAGGATTTAAAAATAACTCAACTATTTATAGAATAGTTAAAAGTCTTTATGGTGGAATCCCCAAAAGAATGTCTAGAATATAACTGAAATTAAATTATGTGTTATTTTAGCTTATGCGCAAGCCCTGATCAAAATCTGAAGCCGAAAGAATGGAGGCAGACTTTTGTAAGACATTAATACAAGACTTATTCCTGTTGTGAGTGTTATTACTGCCTTCATCCATTTTTGGCGCATTTGTTTTTTTTCTCAACTCGTATTGAACATGGACATTACTGATTCTTCTGTCTATTCTAACAGCTATGAACTCAAACATCATGACTACTGATACATGTCCTGGGCAGCAAAAATCAATACCCTATGAAAATATTATGAATGTTCTGTGAAAGACTGAAAAATCCAAATAATTCCATTCTCTTCTCAAAACTATTGATCAGAACTAAAGCAGGTGGCTTCTTACACACACATACATCTACACAAACTGATGTTATATACAGTAATATATATATATATATATATATATATCATCATACTCTTCATAAATATATATATATATATATATATATATATATATATACATTATTTTATAAAAAATGTTGAAAGTTCATGATACTTATCTTAATATATACTTAGCAAGAATTCATTAAAACAAGTTTTATTTAAATCGATTGATAGTGTCTGTCTGTTCAATTTTTACTGCATTTTCCCAGTTTGCATATAAATTGTCACACATCCAGATCAGATTTTGGTATAAATTGTCCAAAGTTCACCATAATTTTGTTTTGTACTTTTGGCCCTCTCTAGTCATTATCTGACATATCATGTTGAATCACAAGTTCTCATCCAATCACCAAAGTTAAGCAACATCAAGCCTGGTCAGTACCTAGATTAGTGACTGCTTGGGAATACTAGGTGCTGTGTAATCTTGGATATATGTGTGTCTGCGATGTAATGGATAACAGTGTGGCATGAGAAATCAAAGACACAAGTTAAAATCCCAGTTGAGTTCATTACATTCACTTACACACAAATACCCTTGGCAAAAGTATGAATCCATCTCTTCTCTCTCCAGCTATGGGTTAAATAGCAGGACATTGGGTTTTATGGCCTTAGTTGGCAACCAGTCTGCTGTAGAAAGTAATTGCAGCATACTGCAGGTATTCTTCTGCCAAGTCAATCATGAATCAAAGGATAGAATAGATTCTTTAGCTTTGGTTGGCAACCAGTCTAAAGAAAGAATATGTCTGAATTCAAAGCCTAAGTAGGGTCATTTGGAGACCTTGCGGCACACTATATGCACCAATTCTCTGTATTCGATTCCTCTGAAAAATGTGGTTGGTGCTGTGCAAAGCTTTACCACTTTAATCAAATCATATGTAGTCTGGCAGTTCAGCTCTAAGAAGTGATCTGCAAGACCCTCATACTTTGAAAACGACAGAAGAATCCATTATTATATGTATGGTATAGGTTAGTTATCTTTTGTAGAAAGTTCACAAACTGAATTTAAATTTGTTACCATAAAACTGATAACATTTAGCAATAGATTAAGTCTGGAAAGGGTTGAAAATTTTAATGATTTTTTGTTTTAAGAAAAATGGAAAGAATAGGGAAATTCATTACCATATAGGAGGACTGATATTAAGTTTAGTACTCTTTTCTTTGTTTTTAACAAAATTTTCCTGTTTCTTAATACTTTGTTTAGCATTTGGAAGACATCTTTCACTATCTCAGTGTTACACTTTCTATCCTCTGTTAAGCACTTCCCAGACATTTAAATTTTTGTACTTGTTTGATTTTGGTATCTCCAATTTGTAATTTGCATGTTGGGCTCATCCTTTTGCTAACAACCATGCATTCCATCTTCTTGCAATTGATGTTTAGTTTTTTTCTTCTCTACCTTCTGTAAGAGTTCTTCTAAGTTTCCTTTCTGTGTCTTTTATCAACACTGTGTCAGCTGCATATCTTATGTTGTTAAGACTGTGTCCACCAATAATGAATCCTGGTAGGACTTCTAATTCAAAATATTTATTGTATGAAATAAAAAGTTATTTTTTGTTAATCTATTATGGACTTACTGCTTTACATGTGGATGCTAAAAACACAGACATATGTCTGTATGTAAAAGTATCTATCTCTAGGCCTTTATATACAGCTTTAGCCTTTTATTTATACACTTTTATTAATTTTACTCTACAAGAGAATTTACAATTTTTTAATCTGTCCATTTTTTAACGTCTGTTCTCACTAAACCCTTATTCAACCATTGTGTAATTTAACCACACTAGAAACATCCTAAACATGTCTGCATTTTCAGGTAAATGCATTTTCAGTCTCAGTAAGAGGCAACAATGATTGTTCCATTGAGCTAGGTTTCATTTCCAGTTGAACCCACAATAATTCATTTCTAGCTTCAAAAGTGAAACAAAACCAAGCAAGTCCCCAGCCTGTCTCCATTTTCATTCATTCTTGCTTCATTCCTTTCAAGTACAAAACACAAAGAAATTGCAGGCATAGTTTGAAGCCACCAGGATCCTTTTTTCTCTTTTCTTTTATTCTGCATTTCTTTTTTTTTTTATTTTTACATGGGATTGGCTGTGATTCATAAAACAGTAAAAGCTTAAATACACTCTGTTTGCTTTTCACTTTAAATCAACCTCTCAGTCATTTCTCGGTCCCCCTTCTTTTATATGCAATATCCTTTCAGTATATGAATTGTGATGGCTCTCCACAACTTCCTATTCTTTATAGCTCTTAGCAATGCTTGTCTTTTTATGAACTCTCCCACACCCTGTTCTGTCATCCATTTACACAAGCTGATTTGGTAGGTTACTAGCTGTTTCCCTCTATCCCTCTTGCCTTCAGTATGCCCTGTGAGTGTCATATTTTCCAAACCTTCTTCCCTTATTATGTGTTCAAGAAATTTTGATACTTTCTTTCTAAGTCTGAGTGTCCTTTTTTCTATTTTCCTTTTGCCAGATTTATATTTAGAACAGGCTTTGCCATCCATGCAATGTGAACAGTTGCACCTTAGAAACTGCAACAATCATAACAAAGACCAAGTTTTGCCTGAGACTAAACAGAATTATGTCAACTATTATCACACAATCAATTCTCTCTCTCACTCACTCCCTCTCTCTCTTTCTCATGCACACACACACATATCCTTTTTTTAATCTTTCCGCTTATTATGAGGATGTTTTAGTTTTCCAGTCATGAAGAGGATGGTTGGTTTCTTCTGCTTAGCTTAGATAGAAAGACTGTAAAAACAATTAAGATATGGATCATAACTAGGAAGACAATTTCAAAATACGGATCTTATTTCTGGATCTAATAAGTTTTAAGATCTGGAGAGACTATATTTTATTAGATCTGAATCTTATCTAGAGAGAGACTATAAGAATTTTAAGATGTGAATCTTATTTCTTGATTTAATGAATTTTAATATCTGGATCTTAGCTAGAGGCACTGTGTGCATTTTTTAAGATCTGGATCTAATTTTTGGATTTAATTAATTTTAAAATCTGGATCTTATCTAAATTTTTGAAGATTAAAGTTGACTGGAAATCAAGAAGCCAGAAGAGAGTTCTACAAACGAGAATTTTGAGAGAAATAATTGTTAGCAGAGAACTTACAGTTACATTTCAATAGCCATTTCAACTGTAAAATGATGAGATCTTGCCACCAATCAAGTACTATGCTTAAATTCATAATGTCTAGATACCAAAGAGGAAATCTCATCAGAACAATTAGCATGAAAATATGTATAGAAAAGTTCCGATACAAACTATATATGTTTAATGCAAATCAAACTTGTGAAATCATCTAATCATTTTTTTTTAAATAAATGATAAAAAATTTTTTTTAAATCTTTTATTACTGTCCTTTGTGAAAAGTGATAGTTGTCTTCTTTAATTATTTCACCCCAAGCAAGGAAATAAAGCTACTAAGATGCAAAGAGTAATTGAGTGTGAGAGAATATGAGAAAAAGAAAATAATATTAAGGAATCTTTTGCTCGAATATTGCTGCTACCAGCTATTTATTTGTCAATGAATGTTCACTCTGTGTACATTTACCAACTGTTCTGATTGAATGATATTTGAGGTAGAGAGGTTTTGAAACTAAACTCATAAAAATACTATGGATAGACGAGAATACTTAAAATATATTGATAATCTCACAACGCATTTTTTTACCTGTTTACTTTTTTCCTTCTTTGTATATTTTATTCCCATCATCAGCTGTCAATGGAAACAGGAAAATAAAAGACCGATAGATTATTAGTAGCTAAAGAAAGTAACACATTTCTAAGTGGATTTGAAGGTTCGGATGGATAAACCTTGTCTATATTGCAGCTGTTGTAGTTCTGTGTCAGTCTGCTTTCCTTTGGTGAATTTTCTCAATCACAGTGAATCAAACATCAGATATAAACATATCTCTGTGCCACACCACTTGAACGTGATCAGAGAAGATGGTATTCAGAGATTGCCGTCAGCACTCAACACAGAATAAATGCAGTAACATCGTTATCATCTTTGTAAATCTCAAGGCAGATGTTGTGGTTCAGCTTTCGGAAAAATGTTTCTAATAACAATACTCTACTTGTACAACCATAGCACTGTTGCTTAATAGGTGAACACAGTTAAGCAATACAATATCTGTCCATTATAAAATCAGTAACCACCAAATTGTGCCACATATATAATGTGTTAAAATTCTGTAATCCTATATTTCAGGCTTTTATCATTATTAAAAATATTTTCTTAACTAAGTCAGGATCTAGAATGAGATAATCTAGATTGTGATTTTCAACAAACTGCTTCATGAATAATTCTATGACCTGGAATAGTATGCTTGTTATTAAATTCAGTATTCAAAGATGAGTCTTTATATCAATGTAAATACTAAATCTTAATAAGAAGAGCTATGAATAGGCTGATCACTCTAGCCTTGGTTGGAAATCAGTCTAGGAGAATGATAACTCTGAATTAAAAACCAGTTGGATGTGGGGTTGTTAACTTCACCCCATACAAATTTACATGTTACAGAAACTACTGCAGCTACACCTAGTGTGGTGAGGTTGTGATCCTTTCCTCCAAAGAGAGTCTACTGGAACTAAAGAGAAATAACAAAAGCAAACTACCAATGTCTCCACCAAGACACACACTAAATATGAAATTACTTGCCAGCAGAAATAAATTATTCCTTTCTCCAGTTTTTCTCTGTTTTGGTATGTTAGCAAATAGCTTCACCAACCTGGCATATGTAAAGTTCAAATCTCTGAACTATGCCAATTGTCAATGACAAATGCAAACTACCAATATCTCTTCCAAGACATATGAAATTGATTGGCAGCAGAAAGAAGCTTTCAGATTCCAGTTTAAGAATCAGAGTTGTTATTTCTTCTACCTTATATATTTGAAAGAACTTTTGCCAACCAAGAATCTAGATGAGAAATTCTGATCTCTCATCTATATTTGTTGTTCTAACCAAACTTACAAACTTACAGGGGAAATACAATATAAATAAAAGGATAGATTCTTGTATAACAAACTGTCATTTCTAGTGGTTAAGTGTATTACATGCTGTATTTTCCATGCCAAAATATTTTAAGGAAGAAATGGTTTAGGAATCCAACTTTATCTTTCTAAGAATCACTTGCTTTGTTTAAATTATTGATAAGCTGCCAAAACTTATGTGCAGTTGCTCTGTATCTTTTTATAGCAACTTCCATCAAATGAATTCTTTCTTTTTATTCCTTGATTAACCAAGTGAAAAAAAATAGTTGTCACCATATTGCTTTCTGTATTTGAGTTTATATATTTTTTATCGACAGAAGAAAAGTTATTTTCGTTTTTCTAATTCTATTTTCTCAATGTAGGACATCCAGTTTAGAAGATTCTTACTTATAGCTAAAATTA